TGCATTCTATGTGTACCAAACATCGTATATCTGAAAAACGAAAGTTTTTATTCAAAAAAATATCGCATTCGAGGAAATTTCTACATAAAATTTAGATTTATGACACAAACAAAACGTAATTTACGTATCGATCAATTTTCAACGTGATGTAACAATCATCACACATAAACGTGATTGGAAAAGATGAAACTGGAACGTGTCGATCAACCAAAATGTCTAATTCTCGACGTATGCTGAATGGCAATAATTCCCAACGAGATAAATAACCTTTTCCTTTTATTTTTTCCTCAGAGAGAAATATTGCGGAGTCTGGAAGTTTATATTAATCGCCAACCAACACGACTATCAATTTTTTCTCTACGCAATGCATCGATGTTGTATCTGATAAGAAAGCTGTAAAATCATTCGCAAAGCGAATTTATTTGGAAGAAATGCAACGAGATCTACAAAATTCTATATCTCATGGATTCGATCGTTTCAAGCTTTTTTTTTTTTCAGATTAACAAAGTTAACTTTTGCGAGTTAAAGTAAGGAGAGAGAGGAAAGATTGCAGCCAAGAAGCTACTAGTAAATTGCAAATTAAATAACGATACTAATGTGGAACTGTTTTTATATTAAATTTATAAAAGATATGTTCCATTATTAAATTAATTTTCAGTCAATATTTGTAAATAACGAGTTGATTGACGGAACAAACATTACGTTTTCTATTACGTTTCTTTTTTTTTTCTTTCATTTTCTTTTTTTTTTTTTTTCATTTTTTTAGATCCGGTAGGGTAGAACTGATTGAAAATATTGAGTTATTAATTACGTTCATTTCTTCAGCTAGCTTCGAAGGCCACAAATTACTTGCTTTATCCCCTTGAGATTATGCTCTGTTCAGCTTGACGAATTACTTCGTTCCGTTTTAAATCGTTTCCCAGTTTAATCTTCGAATTTTTTATTAAAAAATGCTTTTTTAACTGTTTGCCGCTTTCGTTTTTTTTTCTTACGCGTTAAATAATATAATAATGTAACTCAACTCTTAAAAGTAGATTTTATATAGTGAAAAACTCGTGGAAAATTTTTTTCCATAATGCAATTTTAATCTTCTTCTTCTTAGAATTAGAAATAACAGTCTCAATTATTGAAAGCACCTCGTATAATTGGCAAAATGCTTGAACAAAGATTCTTCAATTAAGATAACTTTAATTTCGTTCGAGATACACGACAAACACGATTCTGATGGATTCGATCGGGGGCCATCACGTAGGAAATTCTTCATTGTTTGACCCAAATACGATTAAGAGAATTTTCTGTTAAACTGTTCTTATCTGATCCCTCATGAATGTTTCATTGGGACCGCTTACTCGGTTGTCCGAGAGTATCGAATTCTTCTATCCATTACAAAAAAAAAAAAAAAGAAAAACGCATTCTCTCTCAATTGTCGAGAATTTCGTAGCAACGAAGATTATCCCAAGATTGGAGAGGAATTGTTATCCGATTTCGAAAATATAAAAACAACAACAACTTTCAACGTTTACTTATTCCTTTTGAATCGTATCGTCGCATGATATGATTTTGTATCCCTGATATAAAACGGAGAACGTAATTAGCCATGCTCTTTAAAATTATAACTGTACGAAGATTCAATTTGGGACGCTCCACATCAAACTCGCGATTAATGATTAAATTTTCTGGCTGCTTAGTCACGCGGATTTAGAGAAATTATGATAAGAGATTTCTTTTGACTAATAATTAGAGAGAACGGTAGTACGGCTTTTATAGAGCGAACGGGATTAACTTCGGGGATTAGTTTCGATTAAGATTCATTACGCTTTTTTGTCAAAAGACAATTTTTTTTTTTGCTATGAGATAATTTTGATATTTCGATCATCAAAGAACGATAATTCCATTTGCTCGCATGATCGAGTTTCTTTCTCTTAAAATAAGTTGGACAATGATTTTAAAAGTGGAAGGGAAATAAAATATAAATTGCGAAAGTTAAAGTGTTAACTACTTCGATTAAAATAGAGATATCTTGGTTTATTTCTATTAGGCCACCCTGTATATTACAGAGATAAATTCCAGTATTGCGCATAAGTTAAATTTCGACATTGATAGATTGTAATAAGGCGTCATATATATATAGTCATTAATCCTTTTCAGCTAAGTCATCCTTTAAAGTGAAAAAAGGTTTAATCTGTATTGGTTTTAGCTCGTATCGTAAAACTCCATGAACGGCCTTCATTGCAAAAATTGATTTTTGTACCAATATTTATCGATTTCGTAGCAAAAAATTAAAAAGGCTACTCCCTTCACCAGCGTGAAGGGTGAAATCAAACGAATTATAAAAATTATAAAAATCTTCTTCTAAATTCTATAATTTCCGAATAAAATATCGAAAAAAGATTTTCTGATAAAAAAAAAAGTACTTAAAGCATTACACATATATTACAATGGAATTTTTCAATTAAATTTTTTGTAAATCCCACTCTTATATTCCCACGGCGGCTGTTTCGTATGCAACACGTGGAATCGTATTTTGCAAAAAAATTTATCGAGTACGCGCGAACGTAACATTTTAACTCCGTGCAAATATTTTTCCGCGCATTACACATCCGTGTACGTTATCTATATAAATACATACAAATACGTACATTATCATTCGATATATAATAGAAGGCTAGAATATATAATAGAGGGGCCAAGCGCTTTTATAAAATTCTTGCAAGGATTCCTTTTATGCGTCCGTCATAAATATCTCGACATATTCGGCGACATTTGTTTCAAGTATCTTTCAACATCTCGAACGTGCTAGATATTCACACTACGGCACACTACTTATACCGTTTCAGATATTCGTTTCTGGGACATTTGGTTTAAACGTAGAGTAAAATCGCCAGTTACCAACTCCGGTAACTGCTTTTTGTTGAAAATCGATTCGGCTCTACTATTGTCGTGTGATACACGCGCACAGTGCGCGAACGGTACACTTCTATTCATAAATAATGGAATTCTATCGAGTCATCTACCGAGCGACTTGTACACCGCGTGACAACTTGGATTTATTAGAAAAAACAATTAATTTTCAAAAAGAACGAGATAAGCTACTTCCAAACACGATTATAATAATAACTCTTCTCGAGCGTTCTAGAATTTATTAGGAAGAAAGCGTAGCAGGTGATGTCTAAGCGCTGATGCATGGAAACGGTAAGTCAAGCGCACTTCTTTCATCCGTACGCATCAAGGTAGAAGATAGAGATAAGAGCCAGTGCTTTCTCGAAGAAAGTGCTTTTCCTAGGTAAGAAGATATATATCGCGATCTCTGAAAATAACGAATCAATACGTCTAGCCGGCCATCAGTCTTGTTTTTTCAGATCCTCTCCAAGGTGGCCGACCTGTCGTTGATTATTCTCTATTTATACGTGTCCTTGTTCGTATCTAGCTTCATTTCTCTCTCGAAGGTGTTATTAATCGAACGATATTTAGCTTATTTTTTTTTTTCTGCTTCTTCGTCCCGCGTGTAAATAAATCATAGACAATTGAACGAAGGATGGATATCGATAAAGAGATGGAAGGCTTGATGAATCTGTTTGAATTTTCCTTCGATATAAATTCTTTGCGTAACGTTTAAATTTCGAACACCTGGTTTTTCTTTCCTTAATCGGTATGAAATATCGGTATAAAGGTGATCGCCGTTGTAAATAAATTTAATTTCATCTATAAGCTGGTTTAACGTTAGTTCCAGAATAGATACGAGAAGGAAGTATCGTAGCCGGAATCCTTTTCCTTCCCACAAGTTGAATACTGCTAATAATAACGGGTAAAGTTTCAAATTCGATATGAAACTTTTATGGATCCTTAACTGTTAATTTTGTTTCGATTTTCTAATTAAAAGTTTCGCGTTGTATCCCCATGGATATCGTAATTATGACGGTCATAACGATTAAGTGGCTAGTGCGGGTTGAATATCACCGAAATTCCCTTATTATTAATTTTTATTAACTTCGTTTCAAACGTGGTGCTAGCAATGACGTTCAACCTTATATGCATCAGAAATCGAAACTAGAGAAACTAATTGAATCGATGCATGAAATTCTGCCAATTTCCATCTCGAATGTGTTATCGAATTTTTTATATCCTTTCCCAATTTATTCGTATTCGGAATATTCAATCATTCCTCTTGAAAAATTAAAAGATCAACTCTAAAAATCACGTTTCTTCAATTTCGTTCGCGATTATCGAAGAAACGACTTCGAATCCTCTTTTATCGCGATAAAAGACTGATCTTTCCTTGAATATTATCAAGGTTACAGCCTACCCCACCTCTAAGCCATTATTTTCTTCGACGTTTCGCTAACTTCGAATCGCTGATAACGCCTTAACCGCGGGCGATTCCCCGACACGAGAATCACGAGTTTATCCCACCGAGATGCATGGCCAAACAGGACCTCTCGAGTAATCTAGAGATTTAATCCAGATTCCGTTCCAGGGGGGAAACGTTCCACTTACAATCCATAGATAGACTTCGATACCATTTTTACATCGCATTAATTATTTATAAGCTGGCTACACGTGTACAGGGAAAAGTTTCCCGCCTACAAATTTGCGGAAAGTTTAATTCGAATCTGCTTGGACGATCTTTCAACCCTCGAAACTTTCGGATACATCGCGCTCCCTTTCTTCCTCGCGTATCTTTTATCCCGCGTTACGTCAATCTTCGTTCATATCCTTCGTGCCACTTTCATTCTCGAATTTTCATTCACCGATACGAAATACTTTGACAAGCAATTAATTTACACGATTTATACTTTTTCGTGTAAAACGAAAAATTAAATTAAAGAGAGATTACATACATTAAATGATATTCACAAGTGAAAAGAAGAACAATCTCTATTAATAGAAAATCTCGATTATTAAGCTCGAGCTACGCGTTCCGAGACGAGGCTGGGCGATAAAAAGTGAAAGAGAAAACGGGGAAAACACTTTCGCGCGGGCGGCTTCATTCGTTCTCCATCTCCTGGTAAACAACAGACCGACACTCGTTGTTACACGTCGTTTAACGGTCAATTATCCCCGTGGATATAATGCATTTTTTTCGCGGAGGGAGATAATAATAATAATTAAAAGGGGAGAAAGTAGTAATAGTAGGGAAAGTGAGAGAGAAGGAAAAGGGGAGAGAGAGAGAGAGAGAGGCGCAAAAGAAGGTAGAGAGAATCGAAGGTGTCGAGTGGCCGAAGAAGCGAGACGAGGCCACCACGCTCGGTAGACGTCCCCAGTGCGCAAGGGCGTTGGCGCTGACGACCAACGGTACTGGAAGTGTCGAGGGTGTGGGATCGTGGGGAAGCTTTGGAGCTTCATGGCGGGATCGAGAAAGTGGGGATGGTTTGAGGAGAGCGTGGGGTGGGAAGAAGCAGAGACGAACCGTGCTCTCCCAGTCGTTCAGTCCGCGCCCCGACACGCAATCACGCGCCACACTTCTCGTCGTCGTCGTCGTCGTCGTCGCCGCCGCCGCCGTCTTCGTCTTCGTCGTTCGCAATTCCAATTCTTTCCGCTCCCCTTTCCTCCATTCTTCCATTCTCGCTCGCGTCTCCCTTCGAAGTGGCCGCCACGCGCGTCTTCTAACTCCGGAAATTTCCCCGTTGTCGATACCTCTTTTTTTTCTTCTTCTATTTCTTCTTCTTCTTCTTCTTCTTTCTTCCTCTCCTCCTTCCCCCCCTCTCAACGTGACGCGACTACACGCGGTCCTCCTTGGTGAGTATCTTCTTCTCTACTTTCTCTTCGCAAACTTTGTTTTTTTTTTTTTCGTCTTCTTCTTCTTCTTCCCCGTTTCGCCACGATTAAAACGTTTCCGCGAATAGTTACGATACGCCGGCTGCTCCTCCATTGAACAAATTTTTCCACGGATACGATACGATCTTTGCGCACGTAAGCTTCGAAATCTTTTCGCCTTCTTTTTTTCTTCTTATTCGTTCCGCGTCTTGGAATGGTTGGCGCGATCGTAAAAGCTATTATTATTATTATTATTATTATTATTATTGGTTTCGAAAAGGTTTCGAGACTCGTCGATGAATGTAGGAACGGGCAGAACGCTCGTTTTGAAATCTAATTTTCATCGTATCCCCCAGTTTTCTGGATTCTCGTCTACGCGACCGACCGCATTCCCGATAACGTCGTTCTCCATTTGGTTAATGAAACCCTTTGCGATAGGTGTTCCCCTTTTATTCCTAACCCCCCTTCCCCCTTCCCCTGGAACGTCGCGAAAGTGGCCGTGTTTCGGTCGTAAAGCAAACACTTTTGGAGAATTTGATACCAGCCCCGTTTCGGACGAGCCATCCTCGAGAAATTAAAACCGCGTTTCGTCGACGCGATAATACGATTTTTTCCCCTTCTTCTATCCACCTGGATACTCGATCGCTCGCCTCTGTAAATCGGGCGGGAGGGAGGAGGGGAGAAAGAGAGATACTACGCTGGCACTTTTCATTAAAGTAAGCTCGATTTCCTTGCGGAAATAGGTGAAATCATAAGTGACAATGAAAGCGGTTTGCTTTGAATTTCATTAAACGTTGAATATTTACCCGCGTATATATCGAATGTATTGTTCGGTATTTAGAGACGCGCATCAAAGCGAGGATGTGTGTGTGTGTGTGTGTGTGTGTATCAAACGACGCACGTTTATTCACCGTATTTTTTCGCGTAATTTTTCGCTCGAACGTTGATGACGCTCGATATTTTCTCCTTTGATTCGATCGTTTCTAATATCTTTATCGAAAAATGTGGATCTCGATATTCGTTGGAATTTAGAGATAAATCGTAAACGAAAAGAGATTTTCAAATTTGTTTTATTACGAGAATTTAAGAAGGAATTTTTTTTTAATTGCCGCCCTTCTTCAGAGATAAAGTATCATCGTCATCATCGTCGTCGAAGAAACGAACCGTTACGGCGGTCGAGTGCAGTGGAGGGGAGGAGTTGAACAAGCGAGTTTCCGGTCTCGCTATAATTCAGTTGCCAACAATTTTATACCCACTTCGCGTGTATATAAATCAATCTTCCTTACAGGGACGCACACGTCTCTTAGCGCTTTGCAAATTGTGCAAGGTATACACAATACGAAGTTGGAACGGTGTGCAAACTCGAATGGTAGGGCTGCTCTGCTACGGTACAGAAATAATTTATGAATCGTGTGTCGTAAAAGTGAAAGGAGAGGAGGTACGATTAAAAGGTAATCAAAAGTAAGCGTATGTAAGGAGAAAAAAAAAAAAGAAAGAAAGAAAGAAGGAAAGAAAAACTTCGTTGTTCTCACCGTGTGTAAAAGTTTCGAAAGTGTCAACAATGTGAATATTCTATCGCGCGACTATCTACCGACGACTTACTTTTCTAAGTGTGTTCGAATTCGAACTTTCTTCCTTCCGTTGTTATTAAGCTCGAATACAACGAACTCACGTTTCAGAAAGAAGTTCTGATCGGTCGAAGTTAATAATTACTTCGTTCATTTATGCATCACAAGAGGTACGCGGGGCTTGTTAATTCCGTAATGCGTGGGATAGTTGGCCAATTTTCATTTTCAAAATGTCGATCGATAGATAGAGTGCTACGATCGCATCGTCGTATATATCGCAACGTGATTTAATTCAATTACAAAAATTGTATCGATGTATTTTTTTTTTTTTAATATCAAACGCGTTAACCTCTTTTTTCTTAAAAAAAAAATTTAAAACGCTAATAGAATCGAATAGCCTGCCAATCGAAGCGGGGAAATCAATTTAAGCATTTCGTTACCGCTTATTGATTCGCGTCAACTCCCGATTTTATAACGATGAAACATAACCGGCGAAGCTATATTTAATATATCTTTCAGCTTTCACGAAAACCACTACAGATCCACTCGATATCACATTTCGAGCACCAGGTCAATCCTTCACCCTGTTGCTTCCTTTATCCAAAAATCTTCGAATAAAAAAAAAATTTGCTCGAGTTCCAACTCTGTACGTGTATATATATATATATATATATATATATATATATATCTTATT